CTTTAAATGCAGGAAGCATATCTTATGATGAATATAAAAAAATTATGTGTCAGGTAAGAATAATACAATTTTGTTGAATTAAAAAATGAGTTTTATGTATTTATAGAATATTGAAATTATTATTATTATTATTCATTTTAATGTTTAGGTGATTAAAATGACAGAAGTGGAAAAATTAGAAGAAGTAAATAATACAGAAGATCCTAATACTAAGTTAAAGGAGTACATTATTCCAAAAATTACTCTACCTGTTATTGGAAATGGAACTGATTTAAAACCTATCTTAGTAGAAACAGCAACTATAATAGAAAAACCTATTGACGAGAACAGTCCTGGGCTTGGCTCTTGGAACATTGTTACAAAAAAACCTAGTGATGTCAGCGGAAGCGATAGCGATTGTTCTTCAAAAAGTTGTTCTACAGGTTCAGATGAATCCAAAAAAATTAACAAGAAATCAGATTCTGAGRATCGAACTGTATATAAAAGGCGTAAAACAACATTCAAACGTAATGAAAAAGAAAATTCTAAAACTCGTACTTGGAGAAATAATAAAAGTTGGAATTCAAGACCAGAAAATGGATCCAGATTCTCTCAAAATCGAATTGAACCTTGGTCTAGAGGACCTCGTCCAAATTATTCTCATTCAACAAGATCTCTTGTTCCACCGCCTATGTATGAGGTGCCTAGACCAACTGCTCCGTTTGCATCTTCTTCRCCTGATTGGACAGTACCTGTTATTCCTCCTTCAGATCCTGTAATATTGGATATGATTGCTCATGATGCTACAAAAACTATCAGTATTGATGGGGTATCAAGAGAAGTACGATTTTATGGTCCAACCGCAATTACTTTTGTATCTTGGGATGATCCTAGAGAGATTTATTTTCAAGGAACTCCAAAAAATATTATATTTGACGATCTTTTTCCAGTTTTATGTCATTTTAATAGTCCTGATAGAGAATTTTTATTAGATGGTCAACCTCATAGAGTACGGTTAGGTGCACCAACTCGAGAACTTTATTTAGATGGTCAATTCTATGAATGTTTTTTTGGTGGCCCTCCAATCTTTACAGATCTAGGTGGTGTTAAAAGATCTGTTAAACTTGAAGGCCCTCCTCCTTCAGTTAATATAGGGAACACAAAGCGACAAGATTTAGTTGCTGGTCGTATAGCTATTATTATTGATAACTCTTACACTGTGCCAGTCTATTTAGATGCTAAACCACAGCGCATTGATGTGGGTAATACAGCACTTATTTTTCGTTTTATTGATGGTTTGATGAGAGCTATGATTAATGATCAACCGTTCAAAGTCAACTATAACGGACCACCACAAGCAATTATTGTAAGAGGAAATAAACATTACTTAAGATTCACAAGATTACCACCAAACATTAGACCAGGTTATGCTGCTATTTCTCAAATGATGGGTGTAGTACTGACTGAAGATTCTTCTACTGAATCTTTACCACCAATATCTGCTCCACCGATTCCACAAAATTTCACAGGTTTTGAAATGACTACATTAATACCAAATGAAGATATTAACCAACTTCCTCCTCAATCATTTTCATCTTCGTATTCTTTAGCACCAAGTAAATCTAGAATACCAAAAATAAATATTTAAAACTGTTGAGTAATTAATTTGTATTTTTAACTTTGCAGCTACAACATCACTACCTCTACTTTCTAATGTTCCTCAGAAATTGGAATCTGTTACAAATTCTTATGTACCACCTACAGTGTCTGCGCCTACAATACCTTCTGTCTTACCTAGTGATATGGATATCAATGAGCTATTTAAGAAGTTGGTAGATAGTGGAATTGTGCCTAAGGACAAGCCTAAAGAAGTTGTCCAATCAAAACTAAAAAAGAAAGAGAAAGAGGCAGACAATTTAACCATAAAACCTGTTGATTTTTCAGATCCTTCGTCCTTAAAACAGTTAGTATTATAATTTTTGAAGTTACTTTATTTTGTTATAAATATATTGTTTTGTTTCAGAAAACAACCAGGATTAATTCACAACTTATACACAGGAATCCAGTGCAGTTCTTGTGGTATTCGTTTTACGGCAGAGTTTACCATTAAGTATAGTAGTCATTTAGATTGGCATTTTAGACAAAATAGACGTGAAAAAATGGCAAGCAAGACTGTCCAATCTAGAAAATGGTATTATGATACTAGTGACTGGTGTAAATACGAAGAACAAGAAGATGAAACTACTAGAGGTAATTAATAAATTTATACTTTTGTTTCAAGATCCTAAGAAAAATATTTTTTCTTAAATAAAATTTAGTTGATCAATTTTCAAATTTACTTTCTGCATAATAATTAATAAAATATTTTGATATTTATCAATTAATAATATTTAATTTAACATACCCATTGCATAATTAATTTTTTTGTATATTAACAATGTAATTATTTAATATTGTATGATATCATCTCAACCTTATTTTTTCATCATAATGTTTATCTATGAAATCTATAAATTTAAATCATTAAGATCAAAGTCTACTATGAATAACATTAAACCCAAAAAAATGTTGGTGACATCATTCAGTAATATATGATAATATGCTGGTTGAAAGCTATAGGGATAAGTTTACTTATTTGTTGTATTAGTTTTATTATTTATAAGTTTGCTACATTTTTAAATACCTACACTCAAAATAAGTTTGAAATTATTATTTTTATTATTATTATACATTCATTCAATGCATAATATCTAMTTTGAATAATTTTATAATTATGATTTTTGTTTCCCTGAATTCATAATTAAATTCACAAAGCATTTTTATACCACTTTTAGCTGCGAGTTGGTTTGATATACAAGCAGAAAAGGGTGCTAAAGAAGATGAAAAATTAGAAGAAGAGAATGTTCCTTGTGTTCCAGCTGGTGAAAATAGTGAATTAGCTGCCTGTTATTTGTGTCATGATCAGTTTGAACAATTTTATAATGAAAAAGATGAAGAGTGGCAATTGAAGAATTGTGTTGAAAAAGATAAACGACTTTATCATCCTATGTGCCATGATGATATGATTGTAAGTTAAACATTTTATTTCTTGATTTTTAATTACATTTAAAATTGCTTTATTTTAGAAAACTCGAGAGGAAAAAATTCGGAAGAGAAATCGAGCTATTGAAGATGCTAAACAATTGGAAAATCAAAGAATTGAAATTAAAGAAGAAGAGCAATTTGATTTAAAATTAACAGAAGGTATAAAAATCAAAGATGAAAAGAAAGAAATAATACAATTGAAAGACGAAGAAAAACTTTTAACTGAGAAAGATCCATTAATAAATAAAGAAATGTCTATGGAAAAAGAACCAGTTGAGATTAAAGAAATATYTACAGAAAACAAAGCAGTTCTAGACAAAGAAATTGTTACGAAAACTGAAATAGTTATAGAAACAGAAGCTGTTATTAAAACAGAAGCAGTTATGGAAACAGAAACAGTTATAAAAACAGAAACAGTTATGGAAACAGAAACACTTATGGAAACAGAAACAGTTATGGAAACAGAAACAGTTATGGAAACCGAAACATTTATGGAAACTGATGAAACAGGAATAGAAACACAAACGCAAACAATTAAAGAAACAGAAACAATAATGGAAATAGAATCAATCAAACCAAAAGAAAATGAAGATCAAATTACAGATGGAAATTTACATCAAACCGAACCTGTTTTTCAAGAATTACAGACTGAAGAAAATACGAATACAATGAAATATGAGGATTTGGAAATTCCTGATACTATGGAGATAATTCAAGTTACTGAAGCTTCATCGCCTAAATTAGATGAACCCATTGTTGAAATCGTTAAAAATTTGTCATCCCCTCCAATCACTCAAGAAATTGTACCTGAAGAAATTAAACCTAAATCTCCATCTCCTGTTTCCACAATGACGTGTTCTATTGATGGAAACACTGACACTGAATGGAATGTTCCTGTTGCTCCTGCAATGGGCACAATCAAAATAAACATCAGTCAAAAAATTACACCTATTGTAAAACCAATCGTCCTCTCTGAAAACACATCCATTGAACCACAGTCACCWACAGATTTCACACAAACGTTTGGAGAAATTGATCCTGATCAACCACCACCACCAGGACTTGAAATGGAAACTGTAGTAGCTCCTAAAATGCAAAGAGAAATGAAACCAAGACTGATGCACAACGCAAAAAAACTTAAGGAATATCCAATAGTAAATAAAGGTAAAGAGATGTCAGGATTATGTTCAATTATGTAAAAAATTGTGTTGTCTATGTTGTGAATAATTAACCTATAAAATTATATTATTTGAAATGTATATAGTATATTATACCTGAATGTATATTCTTAGTGTGATGTTGTATATTACTTATATATTTATAAATATAATATAAAGTACATTTTTTTGTATATTATTGTAACAATATAAAATATTAGATTAAGTTCACATTGTTGATTTTTTTTACCAAAAATAAAATATAATTTTATAATACTGATTTTCATTAAAAAAAAATATTCCCTAACTTTTAACTTACTGAATAAAATACTTTTTGGTTAATTCATAAATAGTAATAACATTCAAATAAATATTGTGTATTTTAAATTCACAGGGTTTAAAAAAATAGTTGTGACTTATGGATAGTCAGTATGAAATCAAAAGAAATAATTTTAATTTCTTTTTCTTTTTATCCTATATAATATGACATACTTGTGTTTGTATAGTATATTTTAAATTAATAAATAAATAAAAAATCCATAATTATATTAWACTATTAATTACTAGTTTAGTCATTTTTAAGTGACTATTAAATACAATATTGTTGTTGATTATTAATATAGTGTTGGTTTTCTTGTCTATAATAAAGAATTATGCTCATTATTTTATGTATTGTTTATTAAAAATGTATTTTAATATTTCTGTTTGAAGATTTTTAACTATTATTATGCAATGTCTTTAATAGTAAGAATGTTTAATGAGGTTAAAATATTAAAAGGATAACATTAAAAATAAAATATATTCTAATAAATCAAATCGATTGTACAAACAGTGGTAAATAACTACAAATATTAAACAATAAACAATTTTTATTATTAAATTCAAGATTTATATTTTACAGTTATGTGGCCAACGAGGAAATGGAATAGTATCTTTAATATTTTGTACATCTAATAATACTTGAAGAAATCGTTCAAATCCTATGCCAAAACCAGCGGTAGACACATTACCAAATTTTCTTAATTCTAAATACCAATGGAGTTTTTCTTCCAATCCTATGGAAGATAATTTTTCTTTTAAAACATCATAATCATCTTCACGCACACTTCCACCACATAATTCACCAACATTTGGACATAAAAGGTCTACAGCATGCACCTATTCAATAAAAAAAAAACAACATTAATTAAATAATTAGTTAGTTGAAGATTAAACGTACCAATGACTTGTTATGAGGAAGAGTTTTAGTATAAAATGGTTTTAAATCTTTAGGCCAGTCTACAACAAAAATTGGTTTCTGACCATTATATTTCACTAAAAATAGTTCATGTTCTTTAGCCAAAGGTTTGCCTCGAGTCATCGAATTTTTAAAACAATTTTGTTTTTCAAGTACATCACAGGCTTTATGGTAACTAATTACTTCATAAGGGATATTCACCATAATTGCAGGATCATTGTCTTTAGAAGCACCTATGATGTTTCTATAATAGTCTATTTCATTGCTAGATTTCTCTAATAGTTGTTTAACAACTGTGGATGTAGTTTTTTCTATTAAACTCAAGAGTTCTTCTGTGTTGTCAATAAAAGCTTGCTCTGCTTCAATCATATAAAATTCTGATAAATGTAATCTCGACTTTGAGTTTTCTGCTCTAAATGTTGGCCCTAGAGTGTAAACTTTACTAAGAGCACGTGCCATACATTCTAAATGCATCTGTCCTGATACTGTTAAATAAGTCTGCACATTAAAAAAAGCTTCCATAGATGACTTATGATCTTTTGAAATCATTTCTTTAATTAAATTTTCACTATCTGGTTTAACCGCAAATACTTCCCCAGCTCCTTCACAATCATTAGACGATAACACTGGAGCATTTATTTCTATAAAATTGTCTTCAGAAAATGTATCTCTAACAGCACGAGACAATTTGTCCCTGAGTCTCAGTAGACTACTAAATGTTGCTGTACGTGGTCGAATATGTAAATGTTGTCTTACATATTCTGGATGGTAAGTTTTTCGAGGAGCAAATGGATAACCATCTTGGACAACACATAATCCATAAACATTTATAGATTCAGCAACCAATTCAAGTTGATTGATAGGATTTCTAACTAAGATACCCACAGCTTCAAAGGAACATCCATAAGTCAATGAAGCTGGAACCTTATTTTTAGGTATTACTACTTGTAGACGATGATGAGTAGAACCATCATCTAAATCCACAAATATGTTTTCTTTCATTTTACGCATTGCTTTTGCCCAACCCTAAAAATTAAATAAACCAAAGTAATTAGTAAAATACAAAATGTATTATTTTAAATTGTAATTAGAAACTTTTAATTTGAACATACAATGATAAAACAACCCAATAATAGAGGTACTTAATAGACATAAAGCAAAATAACCAACATTTAATTTGAAATTTTAAAGTTGGATTATTATTTATTACATGCTTTTAGTTTTAGTTCTAACAATTTAATAATAATTTATAGATATATATTATTATATTATAGATAAAAAAAACATGTATTTAAATTTGATGTACATATGTCATAAAGTGAGTAAACTAATAAATAAATCATATAATTATAATATTTCTTAAGTGAAAACTGATTCATATTATTAATTATTAAATTTCATTAAAACTAAATAGATAGGTATGCACAGTTAATGTTTTGATAGGCATTACCTTTATCTTTTTTTTACAACCATCAGGTTGAGTATTCAAAATGTCTTTTACTGAACAACTGGAGTATAGATGCCTGCTCAAAGTATACCTGCATGGTAATCTTAATAGTTTCATGTTCATAATTTACTATCTGGAATTGGAAATATGAGTATTTATTTAGTAACAACAATCAATACATTATTGTAAAAATGTAAAGTATTTTAACTGTAAATTTTAGAGATCTATTCTGTAGTATTTGGCCAAGAGAACAATTTAATTAGTATATTCTAATATTTTTAGTTACAATTTSTTAAACTAATAAATAAATAAAATAAAATATGTTGTTTACTAACTGAGGTATCAATTATTTTAAATTTAAATTAGAAATATAATTATATTGTTAGAACATTAATACCGATTAAATTAAACATTGAAATTTTCCCTAAATCCTGAATTTACAATTCAAAATATGATGGTGAACAAATATTTCGGTACTTGGATTTGTAAAACTGTAATCACGATTAAAGATTTGAGTTATTTTCTTTAATCGCGATTGTAAATTCATAACCAGTTCACACGATGTACCTAAACCGTGCTCTAATGTAACATTAATTAATGAACATTTTCATGATCGTGTTGTATAATACCATAATAATACTGTTTATTTGTTTAATCTTTAATGTATAATATGATYGAGTTTGAGATTAGAACTTGCAAACGAAATCATTTTTAAAATATCTAATACCAATTGATGCTAGAAACAAGTTTGCGGCATAACCGTAACACAAGGATCAATTAAATTTTATAATTTATATAAAGAAACCGAAATAATATAATTTAATTAATTTATAATATATAACAATATAAGTGAATAAAATTGGAAATTACATTTTATTATTTTAAAATAACAATATTATAGATTTGATAATGTAGTAAGTTCAACATAAACAATAGAACTGTTATCACGTAAAAATAAATTATTGTGGCATTTGTAGCCGAAGTAGGCTTGTCATATTATTTTATGGTAGTCGTGAGTTCGTGACGTCTGAGTAACATAATACATAAATATATACAGTCAACATTGGTGTGTTTATGATGGTGGTGGGAATGAGCTGTTCTTGACGAAGTTTTTTTATCTGATAAGTTAAATTATTCAAGTATTTGGTTTGTTTATAATATTCAATTTATTTCTATCGAAACTATGCTGTTCTTGAATCAATTAATCAATTAAAAGATGATTGTGTACATTACTTTTTCACATTTCCAGTTTAATGTTAATCTATAATATCTATCCGGACTGTCATATCTTTATATTTTATAATATCTAAACGCATTTCCTTTAGTTAAGGACTTCAGAATTGAAAAGACTCCCCTAGAACAAAATAGCAGTAATTCATTTTAACTATTAATAAAATTATAACAAAAGTTTTTCTAATTGTAATGTGTTATTTGTTCTTTAGAATATGGCCACTGACAAGGTGACACTGACAGATGCTTTATCGAATGTGGATGTGCTCGATGAACTTACACTGCCTGACGAACAGCCGTGTATAGAAGCCCAACCGTGTTCAATTCTTTATCAAGCTGATTTCGATACAAATTTCGAAGACCGTAATGGATTTGTAACAGGCATAGCAAAATATATTGAAGAAGCCACTGTTCATGCCAGTCTTGTAAGATTACAATTTACAACTTATTTTTTGCTGAATGTGTTTCCATTTATACAATATTTTTCTCTTTTTTTGGTTTTTGTTTAGAATGAATTATTAGAAGAAGGACAAGTGCATGCAGTCATGCTTTACACATGGCGTTGTTGTTCAAGGGCAATCCCACAGCCAAAATCCAATGAACAACCTAATCGAGTTGAGATATATGAGAAAACTGTTGAGGTTTTAGGACCTGAAGTTAACAAACTGCTTCAGTTTATGTATTTTCAAGTAATCAAATAATATTTTCTTTTTATCTTTTACATTCATTTCATGACCGCATTAGCTTAAAAACTAGAATGTTTGTTATTGTTTTTATTGTATAATAGAGAAAAGCAATCGAAAGATTTTGTGGAGAAGTTAAACGTTTGTGCCATGCTGAAAAACGAAAAGACTTTATATCTGAAGCATATATATTAACTCTTGGAAAATTTATTAATATGTTTGCTGTGCTTGATGAACTGAAAAATATGAAATCTAGTGTTAAAAATGACTATTCAAGCTATCGCCGAGCCGCTCAATTTTTAAAAGTGATGGCAGACTCTCATACACTTCAAGAATCTCAAAATTTATCTATGTTCTTGGCCACACAGAATAAAATTAGGGATACAGTTAAAGAAAATTTGGAAAAAATTCCTGCGTATGAAGAACTTTTATCTGATGTTGTCAATTTGTGTGTTCAAATGTTTGAATCAAAAATGTACCTTACTCCATCAGAAAAACATATGCTTGTTAAGGTAAATATAATTACTGCTATATATATTTTTGCTTTATAAAGTTAACATGTATTTTATTTACAGGTTATGGGATTTGGATTGTTTCTAATGGACAATGAACTATGTAATATTAATAAATTAGATCAGAAGAAAAAATTGAACTTAGGCAAAATTGATAGAATTTTTAAGGTTTAAAATTATTTTATTTGTTTAATATTTTATTTATTTTTGCACTTAATTAGTAATAAATTATTATTAATATTAACTATTTATTTAATATATTTATAGAATCTGGAAGTTGTCCCTCTATTTGGAGACATGCAGATAGCACCATTTAATTACATCAAGCGATCTAAACATTTTGAACCAGGACGTTGGCCTTTATCTAGTTCACCACAAATTAGTCCACAAGCAGATCTCATGGTACATTTACCTCAAATAAGAGAAGATCATGTGAAATATATAAGTGAATTGGCTCGTTATAGTAATGAAGTAACAACTACATATAAAGAAACAAGAACAGATACTGAAAACAAAGATACAGCTGAATTGGCATTAAGGGGGTTACAACTTCTGTCTGAATGGACAACTGTTGTGACAGAACTTTATTCTTGGAAATTACTTCATCCTACTGATCACCATCAAAACAAAGAATGTCCTGTTGAAGCTGAAGAATATGAACGAGCCACACGCTACAATTATACTGATGAAGAAAAATTTGCACTTATTGAAGTAATAGCAATGATAAAAGGATTACAAGTCCTTATGGCTCGAATGGAAACAGTTTTTACTGACACTATTCGTCGTAATATCTATGCAGAATTACAAGATTTTGTTCAACTTACATTGAGAGAGCCATTAAGAAAGGCTATTAAGAATAAAAGAGACCTTATTAGAAGTATACTCGTTTCAGTTCGAGAAACTTGTGCTGACTGGCAAAGAGGTGTAGAGCCATCAGCAGATCCAGCTTTAAAAGGAAAAAAGGATCCAGATGTTGGATTTGGAATTAAAGTACCTAGAAGGAATGTTGGTTAGTTGTTGATTGTAATAGTAATCAAAACAATTCATCCAATTTTGTGGTTCTTTATTTAGGCCCATCATCTACCCAACTCTATATGGTTAGAACAATGTTGGAATCATTAATTGCAGATAAATCTGGTGGTAAACGCACTTTACGAAAAGATATTGATGGACAATACCTAATGCAAATTGATCAATTTCATAAGACTTCATTTTTTTGGAGCTATCTCCTTGGATTTAGTCGTATGTACTATGTATACATAACTTATTTATACTTGGATGATTTGATTGTTATTTCATAATTAACATATTATTATAGAATAACCAGTAGAAATGTTACATGTTTGTTGTATTGGTATATTCATAATAAAAAAGTTTGATACTAACAAGTAACTAAATATTTGTCCCAGTCTACATTAGCCAATTAGTAATATTACTGGTTAAATTGTGAAAAGTAATTTATGGTTAACTTTATTAGCTATTGTCTCTGGCAGTTGTGTTGACCAAATAATATTAACTAGAATTTCTACTCAACCTCTTATATTAATAATACAGTATATTTCTAAACATTCCACTAATATAATAATCAATAGAATGCAGCATCAATACTTTTATTCAATACTAATTTGTTTTTAGTTTTATACACAAGTATTAATTGCAATCAAAGTAATTAAAAAAACAAACAACTAATAACCTCATATCCAGAGTATCATGCTTAGAAAATACACGATATGCATATGAAAGATCAAAAATATAATAGCATATTAATTTTTTATTTTTATTTTAAAATAGAATTTTTACAATCTGTAACTTGAGTACAATAAGCAAATGGGATTTTTTTTTGTAGGTACGAAATATTTACAGATATATTATGAGGAGGGAGGTTATTCAGTGCAGAACCCTCATGTGTCATTGGTGTTAGGGGTTTTGTAAATCCCTGCACCAATGCCTTTTTAACCGATGGGTGRGATTATAGAGTAGGTTTACTCTGCCTTGATCGACTATTAGAGGATTGTTGTGGATGCAAGTTTATAGTGGAATTTTTGGTTCTTGGGTGCAACTGTGGTAACGGTTTCAATTTTAAGGTCATTGTGGAGTGAATTGTTGGTAACATACCAGGGTGCAGAAGTTAGTAAACATGGAGTACTTGATTGAAATGCTTGTATTGTTTTTGTTTGGGATGGTTTGGCACAGCCCCATTTCTGTATTCTGTAAACCCAGATGGGTCTAAAAATTGACTTATAAATATTTATTTTATTGTTGGGGAAAGATTTGATTTGAGGATAGAAAGTAGGAGGCKTAGTCTACTGTTGAGTATTTTATTGTTGTTTTTAAGTGAGGGCCCCAGGTAAAATGTTTATTTAGGATCAGACCCAGATATTTAATTTGGGTTTCGATTGGGATTGTCATTTCTTTGAAGTGAAGGACAGGAGATATTTTTTTTCTTAAGTTGAAAGGAACAAAGAAGGACTTTTCAACATTAATTTTGATTTTCCAATTGGAAGCCAATTTTTCTATTTTTATAAGATGTGATTGGAGATTAGAGGCTGCTATAGTAAAGTTACTATGGCCGCTTAAAATGGCTGTGTCATCAGCATATGTAGCGATTAGGATGTTATCACTTTATCAGCATTTGGCAAATCGGCAGTAAAAATATTATTAAAGTAAGGGAACAGGTCACTCCCTTGAGGGACTCTTGTATGAATTTTGAAGTAGGATGAGAATGCGTTACCTTGTCTAACGAYAAATGAACGAGCATATTTATTTAAAAATAAAATTTATCTGCACTGTAAATGGGTACAATTTTACATCTATTTGAGTAGGTTATACCTATTGAATACTTATTAATAGTTTTAGAAATAAAGCATCACAAAATTTAATAAAGAAAAAAACCTTTTTTCTTTTTGATTGACAGTGACAATTATTTCGATAAACTGAGTGAAAAAGTCTAACCTTGTCCATGTAAATATTTATTTTATTTATATTATTATTCATTGAATTTATTTCAGAGTCATTACAACAATGTTGTGATCTTTCACAATTATGGTATCGTGAATTTTATTTGGAAATGACTATGGCAAGACGTATTCAAAAATGTACTGTCAAACATCAGCACAACGAAGAATGTAGTGATTTGATTACAATGGAGAAAAGAATTCAATTTCCTATTGAAATGTCAATGCCTTGGATATTGACTGATCATATTTTGAAAACAAAAGAACCGTCCATGATGGAATATGTCTTATACCCATTAGATTTGTACAATGACAGTGCT